GCTAAAAATAGCCTCCTTCGCACTCAGACTCCTGGCACGGAAGACGCCAGACGAGCCAGCCGCGGGAGCGGGGAGCCCAGGGTGCCCCAAGGAGGCGCCGGGGGAGGGGGTACAGGGCTGGCATGGGGGCTCCGTCCTCGGGGAGCACCAGGCAGGGGCCAGGGCAGGGAGGGGAGGGCAGGGTCCCCGGAGGTCACCCCGAGGGCGGGGGGCTTGGGAGACGCCGGAGCGGGAAGGGCGCATGGAAGCCTGGCCCACAAGGCCGTTCCCTGGGGGGGGCGGGGGGGGGAGCGGGAGGGCCGTGGGCAGCTCTGCGGCTCCCAGCGGGACTCCCAGAGGCAGCTGCAGGCGGAGTCCGGGCCGGCCCCAGAGGCCCCTGGTCTGATGTCTCTCCAGAGCCACTTGGTTACCCCCGGAACGAGGAGCTCACTCCCTCTTCAGGCAGCTGCCACCTTTGAGGACCAGCTTCTAAGCAAGACGTGCCTCCCTTGGGCGCCCCGAGCAAATGCTGGGCACACTCTGCACGGGGCTACGACTCGGAGGCAGGACAGCGGCCGGAGCTGGACCCCGCCCTTTCCAGCGGAGACCCCAGAAGCCCCTGCGACTCCTCCTTGGGTCAGCGCCCAGCTTGGGGTCCAGCCAAGGACGTGGGAAGGGGCTTGGGGTGGGACACGCGGTGGCTCCGGGCCCTTCCGAAACGTGCTCAGAGGTCGCTGAGGTGGGGGCTGTGCCCGGGTCCTGGACTCCTGCAAGGAGGGCGGGTCAGAGGGAGCAGGGTGCTGGGAGGAGGTGGGGCTCCGGGAGGTAAGTGCCAGGCAGGACGGGGCTGAGAGGGAGACAGAAGGACAGACAGAGCCCTGACCGGTGTGGCTCCGGGGTTGGACATCGTCCCACAAATTGAAAGGTTCGGTTCCTGGCCAGGGCACATACCTAGGTTTCGGGCTCAGTGCCCAGTTGGGGGAGTGTACGGCGAGGCAAGTGGTTAATGTTTCTCTCCCTCCCTTCCCCTGTCTCTAAAAATAAATACGTAAAAAAAATTTTAACAAGTAGAGACAGAAGGGTGGGCAGTGCAGGAGGAGGGGCCCAGGGGGCCTGAGACCTAGGAACGGGGTCCCCACCCGCTGCTGTTGTGGGGGCTGGCGGGGCCCTCAAAGTGGCTGGGAGCGGGGGCCTCCGCCTGAGCAGGGCGCACCTCGGCGGGCCCAGGAGCTGCCCGGTCAGCATTTTTTTTTTAAAGGTATTTTTATTCCATGAAGTGAGCACCAAACAGGGAAGCAGACCCATGGGGCGGGCGGCCGCTAGGACGGCCCCTTGGAGGCGGGAGGAGGGAGGGATATGTGCGGGGTGGCGCTGGGACCACTGGAAGTGGGGATCCGAGATTCCAGGAGCAAACAAACATGTATAAAAGGAAACCGAGTCGCTGGCTGCTGCCCTGGGGGATGGATGTTCAGGGTCTTGACACCTGAACACTGAATATTCAATGAACAAAAGTGGCGCCCCCGCCTGGCGGGACAGGCAGGGCGGAAGGCCTCTCCTGGCAGGGGCCACCCCGGGACCGCGTAAGGCTGGGGGAGGGACAAGGGGCAGCCTCCGGGGGCTCCCTGCGCGGTTACGGAAAAACAGGGAGCCTCTGGCCGGCCTGCCCTGGGGAGGGGGCAGGGAGGGGAGGCCCTGGGGTGGGGGGTCAGGCCTTTTCCAGGCCCCCCCCGCTGGGACTGGGGGCTACGATGCAGCCCCCGGTGGACATGTGGGCGCAGAGGACACCCACCGCTGGCGGCTTTGTGCGGCAGCGTGCGCCCCTCCTAGAGAAACCCCGCGGGGGCCCCCGCCCCGTGGCGCCTGCCTCCTGTTCCCGCTCCCCGCTCTCCCCGCTCTCAGCGCCCTTGTCACTCAAAACAAAGAAAAGGGAAGAGTGGGGAGGCAGTGGCTCTTTCCCCGGGGACAGAGTGAGTGACAGAAACCCTGGCGGCAGGTGCTCCCCTCTCGGGTCCCCGCAGGCCCGACCTCTGGCCCTGCGTCCAGGCTCTCACCCTGCCCGGGCTGGGCTGGGCTGGGCTGGGCTGGGTGGGTCCCCCCTGCAGGCGCCTCGCCCCCCGACTTCCGCGCCTGGGCCAGCACCCTGCCCCGACAGAGCAGCCCCTCCTGGGGGACAGAGCTCGCACGAGGCTGTGGTGGCCCTCGGCTGGGGTGCTGTCCCCAGGCCGGGCGTCGAGCTCTCCCCTAGCCGTCGCCGAGGCCCGGCGTCGGGGCGACTGGACTGGGCGGTCGCTACTGTGGGCCCGGTTCCGTCTGCAGAAAAGCTCGTGGAGCAGCGGCACCTTCACCTGCAGCAGGAGAGCCCCCGGCCCCGCGGCCCCGCGACCCCGCCGTGGCCGAGCCAGCCCCCGCCAGAGGGCCGGGTCCTTCACACAGGCCTCTCACCGCCGGCCTCCCACCCCGCCTGCTTCTCGTGAAGACCTTCTCCAGGCCACCTCTCCCCCCCCTGGGGACCCAGCATCCCCCGCAGAGGCGGGTGAGATCAACAACCCCCAGGGCAGCAGAGGGAGCTCCTGTCTCCACACGTGGGCTGTGTGAGTGAAGGTTCCCCCGTTTTGAAGACAAGAAAACTGAGACTTAGAGAGACCACGTTCGTGGTCCTGCAACCAGGACTCACCAGGGCCCCTGCCCAGCAGGAACTTGCCTTGCCCGCTCCCCGCGGCTCCAGGGCCTGAGAACCCCTGGGCCCCAGGCTCGGTGGGGCCCAGACCGCGGTGCAAGAGTTCCCAGGACCCCCCAACATGCACGCCCAGGCAAGGGGGGCAGCCTCAGCCCCCTTCGGGGGGCGCTGCCCTGGCCAGCCTCTGCAGGGGTCCCTAAGGCTCCTCTGGCCTGAGGAACAAGGACCTGAGTGGCTGCCCTGGGGGCTGCGGGCTGTGCTCCCCAGGGCTCCCAGGGGCCCCTCGATCCGAACTTGGGGACCCGCCGCCCCGAGCTGCATCCTCTGGCAGCTCCACCCGATGCCCCGTGGGCAGAGACAAGCCGCACACAGTCCACCAGGTCTCAGCATTTTATTAACAAAATCTTACGAAAGAGTCTGTCTTCAGGGAGGGCGGGAGGGCGGCCCCAGCCTGGCTGGGCCTTCAGACTTGGTCTGTGGGGGCAGGGGACCTGGGGCCCCCACAGCCTGTGAGGATGGCTTATGGCTCATGTGCAGAAATAAAATGTGGGGGTCCAGCAGGCGCACGGGGTGGCAGGGCTGGCAGGGTCACCTTCGGAGGCTGTCCCCGAATCTGGGAGCCCCCCGTGGGCAGGCAGGACAGGGGTCCCCCAAACAGGCCCTGCTCTGCAGCACCAGGGTGTTGGCGCCGGGAGGTGGGGATCCGGCCTGGGCAATAGCAGGGCCGGCGGGGAGCCCTCTGGGGCCCCAGGAGCCGAGGCTTTGGGGCGTCCTGGGGCCGGCCTTGTGGCCTTGTGGCCGGGGCAGGGGCTGTGGCCTCTGCCCCAGGGCTCTCGGGAAGCTCTTGGGGGAGAGGAGGCCGCACAGTGCGTGGCGGCTCCTGGGCTGGAGTAAGACGGGGCCAGGGTGATGACCGTGACTCCAGCCACAGGGGCCCAGGGCCGGCAGGCGGGCGGCCGGCAGGGTGGGCAGAGCACCAGGCCCTGGCCTTCGCCCCGGGCGTCTTCAGCACCGGCTCTCCCGGGCCCCTCCTCTCTGCGGCAGCCCCTCGGTGGCCTCAGACGTCTCCTCCGTGCAGGCAGCTGGGGGGAGGAGAGGGAGCGGGCAATGCCCGCACAGCAGCAGGGCTCTGGGCGAGCCTCAGGACCTGAAAGACAGGAAGACGCAGGCCGGTCAGGGATGGGGCAGGGGCGGGGTGCCGGCAGGAAGGTCAGGGCCGCTCTGGGCCAGAGCCCCAGGGACCCTGGTGGGCCGCCCCCCAGCTTGCCCGGAGCCCTGGGGGAGGGGCCTGGGCCCTGGGGAGACTCAACAGCCCCAGGGAGACAGCTGAGGGTCAGGTTCTCGGTGTGGGGGGGGGCTCCGTTACCTGTTGTCGCTCTCCTGGCTCTGTGGACACCGGCTGCTGCCTCAGCCGGTGTGAGGACTCAGGCTCCTTGGGACCCTCCGCCTGCCAGGGGTGAGTCACCGGGCCGAGCTGGCATGAATCATGGATGCTGCTGGGGGAGAGAGCCCGGGAGGTGTGAGAGCCGGCTCGGCAACCTCCCCCAGCCCGCCTCCCCCCGGCCGCCCCCTGACCCCGAGCTCTCTGCTGCTTCCCGCCCCTCCGCCTGCCGCCCCCACCCCAGCCCTGCGGCTAACTTGCTGGGGTGCCTCAGAGGCTCCGTGGGCTGCTCTGGAACAGGGACTTGGCCCTGGGCCCTCTCAGCGCTACGGTGACCCCTGCTGGTAGTGCCCCGAGGCCGGGGCTCACCTGAGGGGCCAGGAGACGGGACGGCCAGGTCTGCTGCTGCGGCTGCGCTGCGGCTGCGGCTGCGGCTGCGCCTCGGGTGTCCTCTAGGACAGGGAGCGCGCCGTGCGGTCCGAGGCTGGCCGGCTGTCCTGTGCGGCGATGGCCAGGAGAGGGCTGCGGCCCCGAGCGGAGGTCTCCACGGCATTGGTTGTGCTTTGCTTCTGCTCGGGGGTGTCCCCGAGCTTGGTGTCGCTGGGACACTTGGCTTCTGGGTGCCCAGAGGGCCCAGGCATGGAGCAGGACAGGGAAGTGGGGATTACTGCTGTGGCCTGAGAGTGCGTGTGTTGCGTGGCTGGGGGGTTGGTGGCCCAGGCCGGCCCAGGGCCCTGGAAGACAGACGGAGGCGGGGTGGCAGGGCAGGGCCCTGCAGGGGACAGGGGCTCCTTCACGGGGTGGGGGGGCATTGTCCAGAGCTGGGCGACCCGTGTCTGTGTGAATCAGGCTGGGAGGCGAAGGGGAGCGCCCCCAGGACGAGGGCGGGGCGCCCCCTGTGGGAGTCGGGCCAGCTGGAAAGTCCTGGTCGGCAAAGGCCGTGGTGGGCGGGCCCGGAGGCCTCTACTCGGGCTGGGTCCGGTCGCTGGCCGCAGACTCGTTGGTGAGCTCCGGCGTGAGCGCCTCGGCCTCAGCCTCGGCCTCGGCCTCGGTGGGGAGCGGGGGGCTGGGGGGCTCGGCCGCCTGCTCCAGCCCGTCCTGCACCTCCAGGCCCCTCTGGATGAGCTGCTCCAGGGTCTTGGGCAGCGGGTGGCGCAGGAAGCGCTTGAGCTTGGGCTGCAGCGTGCCCACCACGTACTGGATGATCTCCTCCTCGTCGGCGTCCACGTAGAGCGTCTGGTACAGGTCCCGCTTGCGCCACAGGAACTGGTCCAGCGGCTCGCCCTGCTTCTGCGGCAGGTCCAGCTCGCGCTGCAGGGCCTCCCGCGAGAGCGTGCCCTCGCTGTACTGCAGGAACTCCTTCTTGAACTCCACCCAGTTCTTCACCGAGCCCTGCTTGAACTCCCACCACTTCTTGGCCGGCCCGTTCATGTGGTTCTGGATTTGGGAGAGCCAGTACTCCTCCGAGCCGCCCACCTGTCGCAGGTACTCCTCCAGGTGGCTGAGGAACTCGTGCGGGTCCTCGAAGATCTGCGTGTCCACGCCGGGGCTGGGCTGCCCGTCCTCGCCCGGCCCCCAGGGCGGGTACTGCTGGGCCTCCTCCAGCTCCTGCCCGGGCAGCTCGCCGGCGGCCGGCGGCGGGGTGATGGCGTAGGGGCTCACCGTGTAGTCGTAGCCATCAGCCTCCTGGCAGCAGCCCTCGGGACCCCCGACCCCCACGGAGACGGTGTGGCGCGCCGGGTCGCTGCCCACCTGGTACTTGCTGCCCATGGCCTCCAGGCGGTCGGCCCACCTCTCCAGCCGGTAGAAGACCTCCCGCCACACGTGCATCTCGCGCTTGACCCAGCGCTCCAGGTTGGCGATGGTCTCCTGGCAGCGGCACAGGCAAGCCTTGATGGACTTCTTCCAGCGCTGGGAGTCGCTGGTGGGCACGTAGCCGTCCAGGTTGCTCTCCAGCTTGCCCACCGACCTGTGCAGCCCCTTCAGCTCGCGCTCCACCTGCTTGGATACCTCGGCCAGCAGGTGCCGGTGGGTCCTCCGCACGTGCTCCAGCATCTCCGTCCGGCACTTCCCGATCTGCAGGATCACGTTGGGCTTGGCCACCGGCCCGCCGCGCGGCCCGGGATAGGCATGGAGGCCGCCGCTCGTCCTGTGGTCCAGCTCCATTTGCCCGCCGCCGGTGCTCAGACAGGAGGGAGGAGGCGGGCTGCAAAGTGCTCTTGGGGCTGGTGGGGATTCGGGGTCCGGCCGTGCGCAGGTGCCGGCACGCTGGCAGCGACGGCTCTGGCGGGGCGGTGGAGGCTCCTTCACCCTGGGTCTGGCGCCGCGGTGGCAGCAGCTCAGCAAGGCGGCGGGAGCTCAGGAAAGCGGCAGCGCAGGAAGGCGGTGCAGGAGCAGCGACGCCGAGCTCTGCAGCCTGCCGCCGCGCGCCGGCTCTTTATGCTGCCAGCGCGCCCGTGGGCGGCCCCCGCGCTGAGCCCTGGCTCCCATTGGCCCGCGCGCCCACCCTGCGGGCCCGCCTCCGCGCCCACTCGCGCTTGGCGCGGAGGGAGGACCCACCCCCTGCACACACACTGGCCCCGGGTGACTAAGCCGCTGCCTCCACCGCCCCCTCCCCAGGGTCATTCAGCCTGCAAAGTCTGCAGGACGCTCTGGGGACCGGCGACCACCCCCGACCCAGCGCTGGGCCCGGAGGTGCAGGTGTGTGCTGGGAGAGGCCGCCCCCCGCCCCGCCCAAGGGTAAGGAGGAAGCCCCTCCCCCAGGGTCTCAGGGTGGGCCTCCTCCTCTGATCTCTCTCTCTCTCTTTTTGTGGGGAGGGTGCTCTGCTCTCCTGGGTCCGCGTTGCCCCCAACCCTGATGGGGACCCTGCCCAGTCCAGCAGCAGGTGTCCAGCCATAGATTAGCCCTGACAACCACCCTGATATTCAGACCTTCCTTCCTTTGAGCAGACGGTGTCAGGGAGCCTTGTCGCACGAGGCACAGGCACACTCCCAGGTGTCAGGTGTGAGTCCCAGGTGTGGCCCGAGCCGCTGCCCGCCCCTGCCCTGGGACGGTCCTCCCGGGTTGCGTGTGAGGGACGTGCCCCAGGCCTTGGTTCGGCCGCCCCGGCACTGGTGTGGATGTGCCGGCCTCTGCCATGGCTGCCAGGACGGCCCCTTGCCCAGGGCTTCGGGGAGGCCCAAGGCTTCTCGGCTTAGTGCCCCCAGGGGATTCTGGAAGCTTCTCCCTGGGGTGGTGGGGAGGAGGTGGAGCGGTCCTGCAGGGGCTGGGCCCTGACCCTCCAGGCCCCTGGGGAACCTGCTGGGAAGCTGCAGACTTCTGCGAGGTTGGCAGAGGGAGGGGGCGGCGGGCGCGGGAGCCTTCCGCAGTCAGCAGAGGCTGAGGAGAGAAGACACCATATAAGGAGTGGGGCTCCGGAAGCTGAGATTCCCCTCCGCCGCCCTGGCAACAGTGGCGGGGGAAGGACGTCCTTCCAGGGTTACCCCACGGAGGATGGGCCCCGGCCCAGGTCCTCCGATGTTACCTGGGCGCAGGTAACAAACACGCAGCCAGCGGGGCCCAGGCACGGCCCGTGCGGGTCCACACGCCGCAGCCCGGCTGCCCGCTCCCCTCTCCCGCCTCTCACGCACGCACACATACACACACTGCACACTCATGGCCCCGTCACGCGCCCCGCACTCGCGCCCCCCCACGCGCACCCCCACACATGCTCACCCATCCCCCTCACACGCCCCACTCGGTCTGGCTCACTCCACGACACTCAGCGCGGGCGCCCCCACCCTGGGATCCCCGCACCCCCCGGCCCCCTCCCCCGCCCCAAGTCCCCCTCCCCGCCGGAGCCAATCTGTCTCCTCCTTTTCCCCGAGCTTCCGCCCCTGCTGTGGACGGGAAAGTCTTTCTGGCAAAAACTCTCCCAAAATCGCTCTCCTGGCATTTCTAATTAAAGGCGAGTGGGTGGGCGGGGTGGGGGCGCACGGAGCAGGGAGGGGGAGGCGGCCGGGAAGCTTCCAGAGCAGGAATCCCGGAGCCGCTCTGCCCGGGCGTCCCCGCACCGGGGGCTGCAGGCCTGCGGGCTTGGTGTCTGTGGGGCGAGTGTGGCCAGGAGCCTGCATGGAGCGGAGCCCGCGCCCGTGTCCGAGGTGAGCGCGGCCTGTGTCCGGGGCCCTCGTCGGGGGAGGTGCCCCGAGCCAGCTGGCCAGGGACCTCACTCACTGCCGGTGCGCGCTCACACGCGTGTGCCGCGGAAGTGCCAGAGCCCGCACCCGAGTGACCGGGAGCCACCCCTCCGTCCCCCAACTGTTTACAAAGCCCCTGAGGCCCCTGAGGGTGGCACGCAGGCCCAGGTCCCCTGACCAGCTGGGTAGCAGGGCCAGGGCAGGGCTCTGCTGTCCTCGGGCCGAGGCGGCCTCCAGCCACTGCCCCTCCCCGCCCGGGGTAGCAGTGGTCTGGCAGGGCTTTGGGGGCAGGGGAGCCCAGTCAGGGCCTGGGGCGGGTTGGCAGGGGGGCGGGGGGGAGACCAGGAGGAGAGGAGCTGGTGGGGTACAGAGGGTGGGGGGAGGGGTGAGAAAGGCAGGAGATTGGAAGGCAGGGCCAATGCATCGCCTTTGTCGGGGAGCCTGGCCTGAGACGGGGTCTCAAGGCCGGGCTTGACTGGGCTTGACCCTCCCTCCCACGGCCAGCCCAGCACACGTCTGGGGGAAGGGAGATGCTGGGGCGAGCCAGGCAGGGCCTGCATAAGGCTGTGCCCTCAGGGCCGCAGTGACAAGTGACAGCAGGCAGGGTTCTGCTTGCTCAGAACACATAATCGCTGCCCAATTATCACCCCAGAAGCCCTGGGCAACCTCCGCTCTGGGGCTCAGGCTCCATTCTTCCGCCTCCAGGAACGCGGCCGCTGCTCCCCCGCTGGGGTGGGGGTCTGCCCCTGCCTGGCCCAGGCGCCCACCTTCCCCCACGGAGTGCAGACCTCCGCCCCCGCCTCACCCAGGGCAGGACGTGCAGGTGGGGGAGGGGTGGGGCAGGGGAGGCCTGGGACTCTGCCCTCAGAGCCCAGCAGGTGTGCTGCCCCTGGACCCGCACCTTGCACCTTCGGAGGCCTTGCCTGCCCTAGAAGGAGGTGCTGCCCCCGCTAGAATCCAGGCAGCCCCCAGTCAAGCCCCTCCGGGGCTCTGACCTGCCCCCAGGGCGCCAGGTGCTAATACTTATCTCAGCATGGGTCTCCCTCCCAAATCCACAGCCCAGGGAGCCCTGCCCCAGAGGAGCCTTGTGCCTCTCAGGCCTGCCAGACGGTGCCGCCTACCAAGTGCTCCCCGCACAGGACTCTCTCCTGCTTGTGGGCGCCCCTCAGGGCCAGCGCCCGGCCTCCCTCCCGCTCCCAGCTGCTCGGCTCCCCCGCCCTGGCAGCGTCGGCAATTTGCGCCTGGGGCCAGCGCCAGCTCCTTGAGGGGGTGGGGGTCGAGTTCCCAGACCACCCCATGCCCATGTGCACACGTGCGCATTTCCATGTGTGCACACGTGTCTGCAAGGCACCCGCACATGTCCACACATGACATGTGTGCTGCGTGCACTCACATGTGTCGGTGTACACATGGGCACACCCACACATGTGTGCGCATGTGATGCATACATGCCCTCATGCAGGTGCACATTTGCAATGCGTGAGCATACCCTCGCACACAGGCACATAGGTGATGCACGCATGTGCACAGACACGCCCGTGCCGGCTGATGCCCCCAGCGGCCGCGCAGCCCTGTCCTCGAGGAGGAGGACCCAGGAGGCCGGGTGCCACGCGGGGGTGTCCGCCTCTTGCTCTCACCTGCCCCTTCCTGCCTGGCCTCGGCCTGTGGTCCAGGCGCCCACCCTTCAAAGAGCGACCGCTCAGCCTGCCACCCTGCGGGGCCACCCAAGTCACACGGCCTCATTCCATTGCCACCACGCCTGAGGGAGCTGCAGGAGAAGGACCAGGCCGGCCCCCGTGCCGCCCGCTGGGAGCCTGCAGCAGGCCCCGCGCCTGGACCTGCCCTTCCTGGCAGACGGCCTCTCTCCACCCTGCCCAGGGGTCCCCGAGCAGCAGGGCCTGTGGTGCTGGCCTCCCTGTTCCGGGCTGGGGCCCCCACACAAGGCCGCTCCTCCCATCTGGGCGCCCCTCCTGCCGCCGCCTCGCACAGAACAGGGGCGAGTCGTGGGCTCCCGGCCAAGTGGCTGGGCCTGAGCAGGCCTGGCCAGGGCAGGCCTTCGGGGGATCAGGGACAGAGGGGCAACCCGGCCCTTCTCTGCCCGTGTCCGGTTGGGAGACTGGGCTCCCCTGAGCCTCAGTTTTCCACCTGGGAAACTGGGCAACAGGGCCTGGGCTCCCTGAGGCTGGGGGCCACTCCTCCTGCCCCGCCTGCGCCTGGCCTGAACCCCCTGCCACAGGGTCACTCCTGGGACCTGGGAGGCGGGCGTGGCGGGGCCCCGGTCGGGGGTCCTCTCCGCCGCCGGCCCCTTGCTCCATCTGCCTCTGCTGCCCCTGAGGCTGCGCCAGGGCGGCGGCGCGGGGGGAACAGCTGCCGCCTGAGCCAGGCAGCTGGGAGGACACCTGGGCCCACCTGTGGCCCTGCCTTGGCCCCCATCCCCCACCCCCACCCCGAGGGTGCCCGTGGGGGGCGAGGGCACCGGACGCCGCGGCTCAGAGCTGAGACTTGGTGGCAGGGCGGGGGGCAGGGTGAGGACCAAGGAGGGAAGAAGGGCCAAGGTGGCGAAGATGGAGGCGCAGAGAGAGGCACCCGCAGAGGGAGATGGGGATGCGGGCAGCCTGCTGTCCCGTCGCTCCTCAAGGACGTCCCGGGAGTGGCGGCCGGCGGGGCCCCTGCAGCAGAGCAGCCTGCGGGGACAGGGCAGGGGCTCGGGGGCCCCTCGATGCAAGGCCCACGCCGGCTGTGGGCCGAGGGGCCTGAGACAGGAGGGGACAAGGGCAGGGGCTGGGCGCTGGCCTGGGCCCCGGGGAGGCATCGCAGAGCTGGGAACGTTTTCTTTCCGAGCCTCCTCCTTCCTCTTCTCCAGCTTGGCAGGGTGCACGCGCTGCGTCCTGTCCCCGGAACAGGCAGCCTGCTCCTTCCCAGCCCCACACGCCAGACCCCCCCCTCCCGCCGCCCGCCGCCTCAGCACCTTCCGGCCCAGCCTCCCAGGGAAATTTGGTGTTTTTCCGATGATCCTGGCACCGCGGTGCCTGAGCCAGCTGTGCCTTGTGCCTGACAGGCGTTCCTCCAACCCCAGACCAGGAGGCCGAGGCTGGGAGCCCATGACCCCCGGCGAGGGCAGGGGACCCCTGCCCTCACCACCCCCCAGTTGTTATGGTGGAGGAACCCGAGGCTGAGAGAGGGCA